TCATTCATTCATTCATTCATTCATTCATTCATTCATTCATTCATTCATTCAATTTTTCAACCGCCCATCTCCCCCCAATGGGGGAACTCTGGGCGATTCACAACAAACATTAGAACATAAAATATATAAACACACAAAACCTTCATCATCATGAAGTTGTGCTGTTATAATAGTATTAATCTTTGTATGCTGCCCAGACTATCTACTGTTAGATGGGTGGCTCTATACAGTAAATATTTTAAGTAAATTTGTTACTGTAACTATTACAGTAATATGCAGGCTGAAAGTGATGGTAGGGAGTGGGAGGTCAGATTCTTCTGCTCTGGGAGATTACATGTCCTGATTGTTCAGTTGTTCCTCCCCACTGCTGCTGTGAGTTTATTATTAATTACATTTCAGGAAGTTTGTGCTTGGCTGAAGATCATGGATTTCTTTTGGTTCAGTTGCTGCCTACTTTCTTTTTCTTCTCCAAGGTCTGGCAAAAAAACCTGTCCTAGTTCTCTTTCAGAAGTTTGCAATAGGTTCTGGGTAGTTCATTGTGACTCTGTTATAGGTAGATGGTACCTTTAATTAGGGTTAGGCTCACCAAAATTCTCTTTTGAACCAGAAACGAAGCATCATGTTGACCATCAGTTAAGAATGGCCATGGTTTGGCAGCAACAAAACCTGGAATATTTTGATTGCTCTGAGTTTCAGCTGAAGCAAACATTTGGAAGGATCTTGGAGCAATTTTATTTTATTTTATTTTATTTTATTTTTTTATTAAATCTTCCCCAAAGGGTGACTCTGGGTGGCTCATATTTATAGGGTGAGTAGGGCAAGGTAGGTGTGCATTGCCTTCATCTTCCTTCTCTGTGTGCCCTGTATGCTGGCCAGCCCTCTCCTCCATCTTCTAAGCCCTTTCCCTTCCTTTCCTGCTTTTCTGCTATTACTGGTGTTCCAACATAGCATGGCCTGCCCCCTGATCTTCCCTCCCCTCAGCCACCAATGGCCTGATGTTCACTCATACCAGCCTAAGGAAACCCCTCAGCCTTGGCTTTTTTCCTCGTTCTTCTCCCCAGAACTATTTCTGCCCAGGACAGCAGTGTTTGAGGATGGACAAAACCACACAAAAATGTGCCTATCTTTTGGGACAAAGACCACCCCAAATCAGCTGTTCCATACACAGAATGGTTCATGAATGGAACATTTTGTACATCTGTACTTTTATTGAATGCATACAATGCGCTTGTTAAAACAAATTTACACAGGAATTTGCAAAAAATCAAAATACAGAAAAGTAGAACTCATACCCTGCAGAACACTCACCAGTGGTTTGCTTCCATCTGTTCCTAAATGGGAAACTCTGTTTCTTGAATTCTACAAAAGATGGGTGGGATAGGTATAAAATAAGTTCACATAACATCCGGCAATGTTGTCTTATAGAAGATGCTGTAACTGGTTTTTAAAACTAAGTTGCCTGTGGTTAATGATTCTTCTTTTGACTTATATCCCATCGTTTTCAAGGAGCTCAAGGTGGCTTACGTAGAAATCTCTCTTTATTTTATTCCCAGAATAATAGTCTTATGGAGTAGGTTGAGTTGGGAGAGAATGGTTGTTTCAAAGTCACCCAAAAACTTTCTGTGATTAAGAGTGAATTGAAGCAGGCTCTCTCTAGTCTTAGTCCAACACTTTTAACTACAATACTACATTGACTAGAATTCCTAAACTTATTTATTTTATTTTATCAAATTTATATGGCCACCCATCTTGCACATGGTCACTCTGGGCAGTGTACAACAAAACCAACCATTAAAATCAAATATAAAAACCAATTGAAACAGATAGTCAACATAAGTAAAACCAAGATTGTGGCAGGGTTAATTAAGATGTCATACATGGTTATGATTTGGCTGTAACCCACAAATGATGAGGCTGTAATCCATAAATCAAAATAAATATGAAATTTGTCTTAAAACATTCCATCATTTGCTGAAAGGCAGTAAATCCTGTTTGTAGCCAAATAAGCATGTATATCATTGTTATGAAGATTATCATTGGCTTCTAATCACCTATTATGTGACTGTGGTCAAATGCTGCAAATTATTCTAAGGGTGCTTTTGTGTTGATGGCAGCTGACCCTTGGGCATTAGCAAGGAGGGGAGATATGCCAATTTTTTCCTGGCCTGCCAACACAGTAAAACTGGGATTGTAATTGCTTGCCCTTCCTATAATATTCTAAACCTATTTAAAAGAAGGAGAATTTGCAGTGATCTTGGTGGAGAACTAGAAATATGTGGTTCATCTTGGCTGAATGGGTAGAAGGTAGTAGGATTCTTAAACACATGGGAGATTTGAAAGGAAATCTCACTGCTGAAGTAGAATTGGAAGGGAGATTATGAACTGTCTTGTTGATATTTAGTACTAATGGAACAATACTCTTGATTTTAGGTTTTGAGATCCTGAGATGTCAGATGAAATATGCCCAAAATAAAATTAAATGGTATTACTATCGATTTTCCATTTCCACCCTACAAATGTCAGGAAGAATATATGTCCAAAGTACTTGAATGCCTGCAAAAGGTAAGCATTTGATGAAATCCTAAGTAAAGCATACAGGTACTTCTTGCTTAACGACCACAATTGGGACCAGAGTTTAGGTCACTAAGTGATGTGGCCATTAAGTGAATCACCTTGTGACAGGACCCAATTTTACAATCTTTTTTGCAGTGGTCGTTAAGCAAATCACTGTGGTCATTAAGCGAATCACATGGTTGTTAAGCAAATCATGTGGTGGTTAAGCAAATCACATGGTTCCCCATTGATTTTGCTTGCCGGAAGCTGGCTGGGAAGGTCACTAATGGTGATCATGTGACCCCAGGATGCTGCAACCATCATAAGCGTGAGCTGGTTGCCAAGCACCTGGATCACAATCACATGATTGTGGGGGCACTGCAACGCTTGTAACTTCGGGCACCAGTTGTAAGTCACTTTTTTTTTATCACTGTTGTAATTTTGTATGGTCACTTAATGAATGGTCATTAAGTGAGGATTACCTGTAGTTCGGCCTGCATTTGTGTCAAATGAAAGAAAGTTTGAAGCATGTAACATACATCACTACATGGGACTGCCTTTGAAGCTTCAACTGATCCAAAGTGTGGCAGTCTGTTTTAGCAATATTGCATCCATGCTATGGTAGCTGCCTTGGTTTGCTTTGAGGACCAATTAAAAGTGCTGCTTATCACCATTAAAACACCAGTATCATCATCTTTACCACCCAGATTTGGCCCTCCTTGTACAGTCTTTAAGGGTAGGGATGTGGGGGCCAATATGCCTTCTTGGATTGTCCCCACACTTGTCTTCTGAGATAAGAAATGCCTTCAACCACTTGATATTTAAGAGGACAGTGAAGATCTTAACTGTTTCTCAACGTCTTGAGTGCTGATGGAAAGGGCTGCCTTATTTTAAAGATAAGTACTGTTTTAATCTATTTTGTTGCCATTTTTTTTTATTCAACAGTCTCAAGTCCTCAGAAGTAGGTGGTCTATAAATACTTGTCTACTGTATATGATAAATAAAGGCAGGAAACCGCATTTGGTTTTTTCTAAAAGAAAGTATTCTAGCGCTTCTCCAAGTTGGTTTCCTGTTCTACCTGCTTTAGATAATGTTCTGGCCAGACTGTATTTAACCTTTACATTGCTGTGTTGGTTTGTTTAATGTGCTTTTACTATTTTAATGGTACTGGTTTATGATTTTAAATTATAATCTTGTATGGTTTTATTGGTTTGGGGTTTTTGTTCTTCCTGTTAAGATTACTTTTCATGAAAAGTTTTCAAATGAATTTGTTGTTGTTGTTTAGTCGTTAAGTCGTGTCCGACTCTTCGTGACCCCATGAACC